AATATGCGCCGGAATTCATCGAAAGAATTTGAATGTTCGGATGTCCAGTTGAAAAGTGTATCCTTTTGCAATAACATTGTCAGTGGTTTGGCTATCTTCGCAAAGTCTTTTATAAATCTTCTATAATAACCAACAAGCCCTAAGAAAACCTTGATGTCTCTTTGATTTTTAGGAATGGGAAAATTTGTGATAGCATTAACCTTAGCTGGGTTTGGTTGCACTCCTTTATCCGATATGATGTGACCTAAGTATGCCACCTCATGTCACATAAATTCGCACTTCTCGGGTTGTAATTTAAGATTATTTTTTCTGAGACGATCAAAAATTGCTGTTAACTTCACTGAATATTCCTGAATTGAGGATGCGCAAATGCCAATATCATCGATATAAACGAAACATTGGAGACCTTGTAATCCGGTTAAAAACGCGTTCATTAATCTTTGAAATGTTGCAGGGGCGTTTTTAAGCCCAAATGGCATTCTCGAGTATTCGTAATGGCCTGATGGTGTCGAAAAAGCTGTCTTTCTTTTGTCAATTTCTCGCATTGGTACCTGATGAAACCCAGAGGCTAGGTCTAGGGTCGTAAAGTACTTGGAATGGCCTACCTGATCTAGTATGTCGTTAATATTAGATAGAGGGAAAGCGTCTCCAACCGTTACCTCGTTTAGACGCCTGTAGTTAATAACAATTCTCCACTTTCTTTCACCGGATGCACTCAACTTTTTTGGCACAACCCATAAAGGAGCCGACCATGGGGATACGGAAGGTTGGATAATTCCTTGTTTAAGCATCTTATCGATTTGTTTATTTACCTCATTCTTATGGATTTCCGGATACCTATACGATTTTGTAAAAATAGGAGTTGGATCGGTTACGTTAATTTCATGTTCGACAGCACTTGTTGACGTTAAAGTATCATCTGGTAAATGAAATATATCGTTATATTCTTTGCAAATGTCCAAGATTGAGGTTTTTTCTTCTACGTTCAAATGATCTAGTCTTAGGTTTTCCTTTAAGAATTCATAACGGTTCACTTGAGATTTATTTGAATTATTTAATAACAGAAGAGTAGCCTCTTGTGGAAGTTTTTCTAAATGTACTGAAATTAATTCTATTTCCTGATCTACTATTCGCGTATTCAAGACTGTAGCATAGGCTTTGTTATTTTCTCTCACTTTAGTTAACGCTCTTGATAAATAGATACCCTTCGGTAGTGTCAATTCTGGAATAACACCCTCGCAAATTTCTGGGTTTTTTATGTTAATCTCAATGAGGGTCTCTGTGCGGCCCTTGAGGGTAATCCGATTTATTTTAGACCTTTCGGATGCCTGAGGACTTAACTGAATTGGAATTGTCAATGATTTAAGTGCCAGTGTACGGGATTGATAATCAATTGTTGCAGATTCCTTCTGCAAAAAGTCCTTTCCTAATAAGCCGTCAAAGGGGACGTTTGTCGCTTGATTCAGAATATAGAACTTGATATTGATAATAGTATCCCGAAATTGTACAGGAATTTGGCAACTTCCTACCGTCTCTACAGGAATATTCGGACTAAGGCCGTGCAGTATTAATTTTTCTTTAGAATTGAAAGAGGTGCTTGGATCTAATTTACAGGCTTTTATAAGGGAAACGTTTGCGCCCGTATCAATCAAGAGTTTGAAGATTTTATTAATATTTTTTGAGTTTGGCGAATATGCCTCGATATAATCAAGGTTGTCGTTCGAAATCGAAACGTTTAATTCTCGAACACCGTTAATTGCGCGATTTGGTCCTCCAACGCGGTGTCCGTCGCTGGGGACTCCTGGGAGTTTAAATGTACCGTGGCGTTTTCTGTTCGAGGGGTATTTTGGTTTGCTAATTGTTCTCGTCTACTATTATTATATTGCCTCTTCCTACATTCGGCGATTACATGTCCCGGTTTTTTGCAATAGTTACAGACTTTAGGAGGGTTCGGAACTGTTCTGATTTCGTGCTGAGGTTGATTATTAGTGTAGTATCGTCGAGATTCGTTAGTATCTTGATTTCGAAGAGGATTTCGGGCTTGATTATTTACATGTATATTATTAACTGATCTGTTGCGGTCGGGTACGGATGATTTTAATCTGCAATGCGACGTATCATGATTTGTCCGTCCGCAAATATTACAAGATCTCTGTCTATTGTATTTATGCATATGTAGAGCTCGCTCCTCTGAAATTGCGGCGGTATAAGCGGAGTTTAAATTATCAAAATCTTTCCATCTCAACATTTGTGAGATTTGGGGATGGCTATGGTAACCGAACCGATTCAATGTAGTCTCTTCTACGGATTTCTTTTTTCCCGGTATTTCTAGTGGATCTGTTACATATTGCTGTACGGCACTAAGCGCTCTTGACGACAAGGTCAATAATCTTTGATGAAAAGTTGCTAATGCTTTCAGAGGATAATTGTCTGCTATTGTTTAATTCTTCCATGATCTGACAGTAATGTTTTTTATCCTGATATAGTCTTTTAAGTTGTTCTTTCAGTTCTGACCAGTCACTAAAATTTTGAAGAGCAAGTTGTTCCTTTGCATTACCGGAGATTTTAGAAAGAATGAAATATAATAACGGAATTTTCTGCCTCTCGGATGCCAGTGAATTTGCATTATTACAATTAGCAATGAATTGCCCGAGCTCATATCCATTGCCAGTGAATTCTTTAGGGATTAGATTACATAAAAATTGTATCGGGAATTCAGAAGGATTGGTGGAGTCTGTATAATCATTTGGAGATGCTGGATTAGACATAGTTACTGAGTGAAAAGGGCAACTACCAAGCAACAAACTTGAACGTGTACTTGCCTTGTTTAGCAGTGCAGGAGTCCTTGGATCCGCCAAATGTTGAATTCCTTGGTCAGTAGATACTCTGATTTGAAAACTCTCAGGGTCGACACTATCTTCCGTCAGGATACAAGAATCCGTAGATGAAGAACACTTTAAATAAAGCTTCACTTATTGCTTCATCGACGACGGGGTTGTCCTACCGACTGCGCCAAAATTTTCGTGTCGTAGTCCCGGAGGGTTACAGAAAATGTACTACTTTCCGATTAAAAATATCTTTATTCGTACACTCAAGGAATTCGACTGCTCTCAGTGGTGTCTCGTAGGAATCTGGCTTTCGGGGGTGTCCGGTTTAGGGTCAGCACGGAAAAATCTGGTGGGGAGAAACATAGGGAGAGGAAAATGGCAAGAAGGAACAAGGAAGTGAGTTTTTCGGTTGGAGGGGCCTTGGGACCCAAGGATAAGCTGTTTTACGATGGAAAGGAATTTGACGAAAAATGACCGTTGCAGGGCTGGAATGGTTAACAAATGTTGAGGATAGGGTTCAGAGGAAAATTTAATGACAGGAAAAGAGAAAGTTTGGAAAGTATCTAACAGTATGGGTGGCCCCTAACGGATCCGGAATTGAGGAACGGGACGCGAAATAACGCGGACACAGAATTTGCACAATTAAACACTTTTATTCAAAATACTGAGGCCGTCGGAGCGCCTGGGTTCCGGAATTTCCGGGAAATGGATCCTCCAGCTAATCGTCGATTTGTCCGGCGCTGTTCGACTTCGTCCCCTGGTCTCTCCTAGTGGCAGGTAACCCTCTAACGTCTTCGACGTTCTTGATCTCTGAAATATTGCAAAGGTGAATTAGAGTAAAGTTTTCGTCGCACTTCAATACCGTGCGGAATGAGTCGCCGCTTGTGGGCAGAACTGTGCGCAGTGGACTGTATGATATTTCGATGAGTTCAGCGGCTCCACAAGCAAGTCCCTTGCTGTGAAACGGAGCAGAATCACACTCAACGTTTGTCCCTACACACCGTGTAAAGCTGGAAGCTCGTAGCAACGAGCTTCAAGTCCCGACCTTATAGGGCGCGATGTAACTTACCGCACCAGGAAGGGCCCGAGGATGACAAACTGCAGCAATGCGTTTAACGCAACGTACTGCCCAAGCCGTCAGCCGTTTCTAATTAACTTTTAGAGTGGCCTAAGACGGTAGATTCAGTCTTTCCAACCTAAGAACCCGAGTTGAAACGCAACTCCGAAATGTCCAGTTACTGGAACAAGTCGTGGCTCGTATTCGCTTCACCGCGAACTTCTTCTGCGTGGCCGTTATTTATTTCAATCGATCTTCCTCATAGCTAAGAATCTATATACTTTTTGCCAAACCGGCTATCTCATAAGTATTATCACGAGTCTGATTATTTTTTACCGATGATCACACCGTGACGATCCGTCGTAGACTCCGACGGAATCGGCGTTCTAACGCGCGCACCGACCTCGGCGCGTGGCATAAAAGAGTCGCGCCTATCCATTCTTTCACTTGCGCTTATTCCTTTTCCCACTCTGCACTCTCAAATTCGAATTCTTCGATTCGTTAACGGTTGGACGAGTGAGGTCGATCGCGTATTGTCAACGATACTCCGTGCCGTTTTTTGTCGCGCAATTCGGCACTCAACGATACAACCACTCTCATTCCGGAGGTCGTATAAAATACCGATGTTGTCGATTTTTATCGCGATTAGCTCGATCCGTACCTTCGAAGAAGAACCTCATTCCGAAGGTCGCGCAAAACAACTGAATTCCGCGAATCAAATTTATTTAAATTAATTTTCGATTTTCAAACACGTACCCTAATAAGTCTCAGACATCGTTCACTTGTATAAATTTATTTGAGCATAAGAGTGATCTTTTAATGTAAAAAAAGGAAAATTCATTTTCGCTAAGTTGTATTGTACTAGTAGAAGTAGAAAAGTACTATATAATACTACTGTGAAGTCTATACAAATTGTCTTGTTTAATAATTACATAAAAATTGAAATATGATAATATGATAATGAAACGAAGCTAATAATAATAAAANACTGTTTTTTAATATTGCATAAAATGCATTTAAACAATCTTTTCTTTGATAATTTTTAAAAATTGCAATCAGAATGAATTAGCGTTAGTGAAAATGATCAAAACATTATAGAACTTTGTCAATATTACAAGAATATAAGATTTTTTCTTCTTTTACTTCAGACATTTGCAGCTAAAATTCCTGAAAATCATGCGGCCGAAAGATATCAACGTATGATCGCGAGTTTAACCGAAATGTGGTCGATCCCTCGAAACGAGGTTGAAGTTTGCACGGGCCAAACGAAAGTAACATATGGTAAGATATTCATACAATTTTTGAAATAGCATCATGAAGCTTGATATTAAAAAAATTTCTATCTGTTTTTTAGATGATTTTATGTTATTTGTAGACGTGATCCAATCCGAAGGCGAAAACAATGATACCGTGAGAAAGGCCAGCTGTACGTTAGCTTGCTGCGCCCAGGCTCAAGGGACGGTATGTAAATGTTTTCAGACTTCTTATACGAGTAAAATAAAATTTAACATTTCATATATTTATTTTTTATAAGCAGATGTCTGGTACAAATATCAACATGGCTGCCGTACACAATTTGATCACAAACAGCTCTGCCCCACATGTCGTAAAGCCGCGACTCCACATAGCTGTGGATACATGCGCGGAACTAGGTAATTAGACACAGTCATTAACTCATTCGAGGTGTAGACACAGTTGCAAATAATTTGCCACATTTCTTACTGTAGCGACTCTAGTATCGTGTGTAAATACATATGAGATTTATTAGCCGACAAGGTGCATCGCTCCTTTCCAACAATGATACAACATATACAACAGTAAATGACCCAATTTTTGTTCATGAAACAATGTTTCCTCACTTGAATGTAAATGCATTCCTCTTTTGTTTCGTAAGTTGTTTCCAACTTTAAACGGCGAATACTTAATGAGAGTACATTCACTAATAAACATGAAAAAATAGTGCTCGGCATAGCGGCTAAAGGTCTAGCTACACAGACGTGACGGCACCGCAACGGCACCGTAACGCAATGGGAAGGTAATGGGAACGCAGGTCTCCATAGGTCGCAGGACGTAAATTTCATTGCCGTAGTCTTTAGGACAGAGTACCTATAGAAAAAAGCGTGTAAAAACAGGGAGCTCAGGGGTCCACGTTTGACACCCAATCGGCACGCGGGGACTGCCTGCTGTTTAGGGTCCACTACCTAGGTCCTAGTACTGTCCTAAAGACTACGGCACTGAAAATTACGTTCTGCGACCTACGGAGAGCTACGTTCCCATTATGTTCCCATTGCGTTACGGTGCCGTTGCGGTGCCGTCACATCTGTGTAGCTAGACCTTTACGCGATGCACGATCCTTCACCAATTTGCAGCGATCTGACAAGAAAAGCTTAGAACAAGCTTATTATACGGTATTGAATATACAACTATCAGTAAAACAATTTCAAAAACATTATTTCCACATGGAGTCGAGGTCACTTTGAATTTCTTTTTTACAGTATTTAGAGGATATAGAGACGAATTCAAAATATTATTTAATATTAAATGAAAAAAAAATATAAAAATTTACATATTACATGATATTATTAATATTATGTTATTAATAACATACTATTAAATTTACATTAGTGGAATTGTGAAATATTTAGCATTTCCTTGCATTTGACTTTAAGAGAATGCAAACGCAAGCGAAATGTCATTTGACAGTCAAGTTCATAAAATTTTCAGTAATTTTAAAATTAGTTGCATCAATATTTGCAGACAAGTATATACACTTCTGTAAATTGCTCTCTCAAGAATTGTCGCAAGTTACTTACTAGTATATCCGCACCTTTGAACAGAGCTATTGAATAGCAAAAGTTTTAATACGAATACTTTTTTAATTTTTCAGTAAAAAATATCAACGACGGGTGCGATAAGTTTCTTCAGTTTATAATGTGTGTCTGTGATGATAAATGGAAAATAACCAGTTATTAACATGTTAAGACTACTAAATCAATAAATACTATTTTGCATCTAATACGTGCCACTGTTCATTTAACTTCCCTTTTAAAACAATGATTAGGGATTAAAGAACAGTTATTCAGTTTACTGGTAGCTAATTTAAATGAAATACTGTGTAGAATACAGAGTTCTGCATAGGACGGAGCGACGGGCCGATCTCCTCGCAGTCTGGGCTAACCGCAGTTTGCGATAAGGCGAACATGATACCTTTCTGTCTGGAGCCCGTCACACTGCGGAGCGCCTGTAACATCATGAAAAACTGCGGGCGGCTCGCACTGCCTCGCACTCTCGCAGCAGTGCGAGGTGCGAGCCGAATGCGAGCATTGCCGCTATAGTGCGTTCGCGATTACGTACATCTTCGCTGCTGAGTATCGAACGCTAAGCGGCTGCGT